TGCAGATGGTTTTACCGCGGTCACCGAATTGATTTTCGCTGTTGTTGGGAATTCTTCTTTTTTTGTTGGGCTTGCCTCTTTTTTTGTTGGGGTTATACTCTGCGAGTCATCTGTTAAATTTTGGGATCTGTTTAGTGTTTCATTCTCGCTTTTAGAAGAAATATTTTTTTGAAGCATCTCCACTTTCATAGAATCTGAGAAAAGGATGAGAAACAGTCAATAATAAGGCACTAACTTCTCTTGTGATACTTCAGCTAGAAATGAAAATTATTGCAAGGCATTTACTTTATAGACAAGAAATCATATGATGACCAGGGCATATTTCACACTGCAAACTTTTTAGAACTCATAGGCAGAAATACACACTCCTGTACTTTGGCAACTTCAAAAGAGAAGTCTTGAGTGGCACAGGAATTAAAGCTGGGAAGTACGTGCTTTCTACATTAGTATGCCAAAGCGTCCCTGAAAAATTTAGCATGCCTATTTTCCAGGATTAGAACTTCAGAGACATGTCCTCCCTCCCTCTGTGGATTCACGATGTCTTGTAGAATCATACGCGATTAGTATTTTCTCCATCATCAAACTCTTTCTCCCATAGAATTTGCTGAGGTCCACAGAGGAAGTTCTCAGTAAAGCTCTTCCTGCAGTTAAACGTTTTTAGTCTTTCACCATTGCATATTTCGCCAGCAAAAAATGAGAACACGCTGCAATGTCTCCTTCAGTCACGACGCAAGGTCCTAGTATCTCTTCCCAGGCACTTATTTTTATTGAATTTGTAGACACAGAAAAAGATATTCAACCTTATGTTAACTCGAACGAAACTACTGAACCACAGCTTAAAAAACAAAGCTGAAGAAAGGACAATCTGACTGCATATGCTCCTATAGGAAAGCCTTTTGTCGGCAGCAAATTATTATAATGAAGAAAGTCAGCAACAGTGCTACATAACAGTGCACCCTTAGGCAAATTCATAATCTCTCCAATGCTAGAATAGCTTTACAGAACTACATAAAAACCAAGGTGAGCATTAAAACCACATGTAGGGCCCATCACCCCCTTCTCTACCCAAAGGAAGGTAAAAAAAGATGCAGAGGGAGTTTATAAGTAGCCAATGTTTTTTTAATCCTAAAAAAAAAAATAGCAAACTATTCATGTTTACAGCACGTCACTTCCAGATTAAAATCAGGAGGCACCTTAAAAATGAAGAACACATTTTAGACTTTCAGTATACATCATAATTTAAATAGCGGAACCATACTTGCCTTGTATTTTGGCATTCCAAACTATTTTTTACTTTTTTATTTTAAAAAAGTAACAATACTTTCATTAAGCGCTCCCAAGGAACTCCCTGGTTCACTGGAAAGTTACAGATTCTAGAAACGAAGCATTCAACCAACTGCTTGTCTCAAATTACTCATAAGTAAAATATTATAGAGGGGACACTGAATCATGTTATTCATGAAACGTGTATTTACAGAGGATCAGTTACAACAGACTTTTTGTTTACACGGTACACTTTTCCATCTTGAATTGCTCTTTAACCAACCAAAACAGAGAAGACTCAACTAATCCCACATGAACTAGACATTACGGTGCCTCTCTGCTAAAGTTCAAAGTCAACTACTTTACATTTAACACACTTGTTGAAGAAACTACTATTATCATATCATCTGAATTATCATATCAACATTAACTTGTTCAGTTCTTGTACAGGACAAGTTTAGGGAATTCTTATCTCCCCTCAGGAGTAAAGCCAACTAATTGCAGACGTGGAGATAAATACAAGGAAAGGCAGCTGCAAGACAGTTTCATATTTATAGCTAGTTAGCACGTTATGAGCGAGGTAGGCAGACCTTACTGCTACCCTCACCAAATAGACAAAAAGTATTAGAGAGTAATAGCTAAATTGTTTGAAATCCAAACAAGCATATTTTCCCTATAGAACTACACTGCATGTATCCTTACACTTCAAATTATTCTTAAACTCATTTTAACATGAAAGGTTTAGAAGGATACATGCTTAAATGCAAGGGACTTCCACCAGCTAATGCTGCAGCTTCAGTGTGAGGAAGAATAATTTCCCATTATTCCTAAAATAAGTTATTTTTTTGTTTTAATAGGAGTAGCAAGTTTAGCAACTACAGCACAACTGATTTATGATACCTACCCAAAAGTATTTGGCATTATAAACGGTGGTTGCACTGTTTACGGTTATACAACCCTGTCAGATGATGTTAGACATAGTGCCTGGACTCCAGAGAGGCCTCAGCTTCAGAAATAGATATTCATGTTCAATCATGGCAACAGAACTAGTAACACAGTCCTCTTAGTAAACACTGTACATAAAAACATTTGACAGGGTCAAAATTCACTTCCAGGAAAACTTACTTTTTAGAAAGCAAGTTGTTCCATGATTTTTTTAAGTTAAAACTTCTTGGTTTCCTACAGGTTTCTGTCCCACATCGTGAACCTCTTCCTTCATTACTGCCTACCCATTAGACCAGGCGAGGGGCAACACAAATAGAGCTGGTTCGGATATAGTGACTGACGGGCAAGAAAGGAACTGCCAGCTCAAAACAGCTCCCTTCGTTTCCTTTGATAACTACCTTCCTCTTCACTGCCCAACCCATACTTCATCTAAAACAAACAGAAACTCATCGCACTTGAAATATGTGTTTCTTATTAGCATTAGGTTACAGCTGGTCTGTAGGATGAATCATAGAATCGTTAAGGTTGGAAAAGACCCTTAAGATCACCAAGTCCAACCCTTAATCCAGCACTGCCAAGCCCACCACTAAACCATGTCCCTGAGCACCACATCTACCCGTCTTTTAAATACCTCCGGGGATGGAGGCTCAACCACTTCCCTGAGCAGCCTGCCCACTCCCGTGAGCAGCCTGTGCCAGGGCCTGACTACCCCTTCCGTGAAGAAGTTTTTCCTAATATCCAACCTAAACCTCCCCTGGTGCAGCTTGAGGCCGTTTTGAAGGGAAGAGGGAGAAAGAAAGTGGACTTAACTAGGAGCCAACCTGCAGAATAACATAAGCTTATTTTCGGGGCGGGGGGGCTAAAAAGAGGCACGCAACTAGAATAATTAGAACAAAATATTAAGTCTGATGAGGGAAGCAACCAGCTAAACTGCTCTCCACAGCAAGAAACACGGTGAACACCCGGCGATACAGTCCCGCGCCCGCCCGCCGCGGGAGCAGCCCGGTAACGCGCGCCTCCCCCCGCAGCCCCCGCCCCCGCCGGGACCGGCTTTCTCCGACAGCGAAGGCCCGGCCGA